GCCTCCAGTGTCATAAAACACAAGTGTGAGTGTGGGGCAGGACCCCCGCCGGGTATGGATCCTGTTTCAAGGCTGCAACCTCAGGGAGACGGGCATCCCCAGCCCTCCTAGTCGCCTGCACCTGCAGAACACGGGGTGGGGAGCTCCCAGGCCGGGTGCTCGGGGCCTGAGCGATAGCTCTGTGGGTCAGGCGCTTGCCTGTCTTGCACACGCCCCAGCCGGGTTCCATCCCGGGCATCCCATGTGGTCCCCACGGGGTATGATCAGGAGAAACTTCTGAGTGCAGAGCCAGGAGTAATCCCTGAGCATCTAGGTGTGACCCCCCCCCCCCCAAAAAAAAACAAACAATCAAACCAAACCCAAACCAAGTGGGGTTCCCCACTCCCTCCCCGACCACAGTCCTGAGCTCAGGATATATAAGGTAGCGCCCCAGCCCCTACGCCAAGGCTCGGACCTACTCTGCCACCATCTCTGCCTGGGACAGCTCCTTGCACCGAGCCAAGGGGTGCCCCTTGCAGGTGGCACACCCACTTCCTGTTCTGCCTGGACGGTGAGTCAGGGAGAGGCTGGGTGGGGGCTGGCAGGTGCATGGAACATTCCGGGAGGGACGGGCTCTGTCTGGCTTTCCCTGATTCCTGTCTGTGCGCCCTGTGACCAGCAGCTGGGGCTGCAGCCTCTGCGCAACACAGCCAGGGCAGAGGGAACTGAGCCGGCCCCGGGACAGGCACCCGATGGTGCCCCTCCCCTCCTCTGACTGCTCCAGCCTGGCCAAAGGCCCCACAGTGCTGATTTGGGTTGTCCTTGCCTTTGCTTCTGAGAGCTGGCCAGGAGGGCAGAGTCTCGGCTGTGCTCGCCTGACTGCTCTCTCTCTCTCCCTCTCCTTCTCCCTCTCTCTCTCTCCCTCTCCCTCTCTCTCTCCCTCTCTCTTTCACTCTCTCTCCCACTCTCTCCCCCCTCTCTCTCTTCCACCCCCTCTCACTTTCCCCCCCTCTCTCCCCCTCTCTCTCCCTCTGTCTCTGTCTCTGTCTCCCTCCCTTCCTCCCTGCCCCCCCCTCGTGGGGCCACACCCGACTGTGCTCAGGGCTTACTCCTGCCTCTGTGCTCAGGGGCCACTTGCAGCAATGCAGGAGGATACTCTGTGGCGCTGGGGATCAAGCTGGGGCCAGCCTAGTGCAGGGCCAGCACCTTCCGCACTGTCCTCCCTACAGCCCCTGCTTTGCATCTCGAGGCCACTGTAAATACTGGCTGTATTGAATCAGGCCTCAAGAGGGATTTTTTTTCCCTCTTTGTGTGAACCTGGTGCTTGCATTTTCATATATCCAGAGCGCTCTGCAGAGATGCCTAATCAGACTCAACGGGACAGCACACACGAACACCCTGGGGTCCTGTCCATGCGGGAGCCCCACCACCGGTGACAGGGGTTCTCCTCACCCCAAAGGCCCAGGTGGGCGGGAATGCATGGTCCTTCCCTCCCTCCCACCCCCCCGAAGTGCAGTCCCTCCCACAGTAGGTGTTTCCCTGGCACCTGCAGGAGGGAGGTGGCACGGGGCTAAGTCCTGCCGGCTCTCTGTGCCGAGTGACGCTGGAGGCAGGACACAGCAGCAGGGCGGGCGCTGGGGGTGCTGGGGGTCCCAGGGCCATCTGCCAGGCCCTTCATGTGCCCTAGGGTGGGGGGGCGGGTCCTGCACTGACTTTGCTGTCCAGGAGAGAAGCTGCTAATTTAGTATTGTTATTATTGTTATTTCCTCCGTCCCTCTCGGAGAGCCCGGCAAGCCACCGGGAGCATCTCACCTGCACGGCAAAGCCTGGCAAGCTCCCTGTGACGTATTCGATATGCCAAACACAGTAACAAGTGTCACAATGGAGATGTTACTGGGCCCGCTGGAGCAAACTGATGAACAACGGGAGGACAGTGACAGTGATTATGATGATGATGATGATGATGTTAGGGCTGGAGCAATAGCACAGCAGTAGGGCATTTGCCTTGCATGCAGCCAACATGGCCGACCCGAGTTCGATTCCTCCGCCCCTCTCGGAGAGCCCGGCAAGCTACCGAGAGTATCTCGCCCGCACGGCAGAGCCTGGCAAGCTCCCCGTGACGTATTCGATATGCCAAACACAGTAACAAGAAGTCTCACAATGAATATGTTACTGGGCCCACTTGAGCAAATTGATGAACAACGGGAGGACAGTGACAGTGACAATTATGATGTTAATGCTTTTTGGGTCACACCCGGCAATGCACAGGGGTTACTCCTAGTTCTGCACTCAGGAATTACTCCTGGCGGTGCTCAGGGGACCGTATGGGATGCTGGGACTCGAACCCAGCTTGGCTGCGGGCAAGGCAAACAGCTTCCGCTTTGCTATGGCTCCTGTCCCTTAGTATTGTTATTTTTACTTCCAAATCAAGGCAAAGAAGCAATGCAGGATTGCTTTGGCCTTCCTTGGCCCTTCCTGGAGGCTGCAGGGAAATAGCGTGTGGACAGTATGGTTTCCCTTCCCAGTGAGCCCACCCACAACGGGGCGGGGGGGGGGGGCGAGGTGCCAGCACATAGGACATCTGCACCTCTCAGGGTGGTTGGGGGAAATGTGATGAAGATGCAGCTCTCCCGCCCAGCTCTGCGCCCCCCCCCGGCCCCCGGACACTCAGAGCCCCCTCCCCACACATTCCCACAGACCCCCCTGCCTTCCGCAGCGGAACTTGCTCTCCAAGCCGCTCATCAACCATGAGAGCCCAGGAGCCACGGGTCAGTTCCCTCCAGCCAGCGCACTGTTCCCTTGACACCTCCATCTCAGCTCAGGCTTCCCGTGCAGGGTCTACCTCCCTGGACTGTGCGTCGGTGTTCCTCGAAGCTGCACCCCCACCAACTGGGTGCTCTGGGCACTGCCTTCACCCCTGCGGACAGGCCCCTGTTCGGCTGTTTCAAGCCACCTGCCCTGAGCCGGGGCCAAGGGAATCTCACTATGGTCAGTTTCTCCGTGGACCGAAAGAAGAACTGGGAGGGGATTGTGCAAGGCTAAGGCGCTTGTCTTGCACGCGACCGACCCTGGTTCCATCCCTGACACCGCTTATGGTCCTCCAAGCTCCAGAAGGAGGGATTCCTGAGTGCAGAGTCAGGAGGAAGCCCCGAGCACCACCGAGAGGGGACAAATCCCCCAGTGAAACAAAACAAAGCCAAAGAATGAGAAAGGGCACAGTGACGGAGCATTTGCCAGAAGCATTCACCTCCTCAGCCAGCGGGCCTGGCCCTCCGCGGGCAGAAAGAACCTGGAGCCCCAAGACGGCCCAGGGGTGAGAGACCGTGGCTTGGGCTCCCCTAATAAGACAGGACGTGGGGTGACCTGGATGGAGCCAGACCGTTTGGCAGGAAAGCAGAGGCAGGGGCAGTGCCCACGGCTTCGACCTTTACCCTTCATGGCAAAAGCCGTGATGAGAATGTGAGACGCGGGGGGGCGGGGGGCGGGGAGGAACAGCCAGGCCTCTGATCCCCTTCTGTGGGGGTCCGAGGAGTCTTCACACTGAGCCACCAAATGTGCAAAGAGTGCTGGGGTCTGTGGGGAGGGCAATGCTTCAGCTTGATGGTGACAATGACAAACAAAAGTCACACCCCTACTGACGTTCCCGCCCTCCTGGCCGAGGTTTCTGAGGTGAGGGATGAAGTTCCTCAGGAACAGACACAGGGCCGGGAGACCCCCACCCCATCGCTACAGCAAAGCCGGAGCTGGAGAGCCCCATCTCTCCGTCCACCCCAGGGCGGTGCGGGTCTGTCCACGCCGCCCAGCTCAGCTCCTCAAACGTGGCTCCAGACGCTCCCATCACACCTGCGATGACCTCTCCTGGAGCGGAGGTCCCCGACACGCTTGCTCAGGGCAGGACATGGGTGGCCAGGGGACAGTGAGCACCACCTGGCATCTTAAGAGGGCACCCGAGACCCGCCTCACCCAACACGGGGGGGGGGGGGTGTCGGCAAAACTCTGGCAACAGTGAAAGGTTTCCTAGCGAAAGCGGAATCACCCGGGCACGTCTGAGGCACATTCACCTTCCAGCAGGGCCCACCCATGCCACTGCCTCGCTTGGGCAGAAAGAAACGATGAACACAGAAAGCGGAAGGGGCGCTGGCCTGGAAGACCACGTGCAAGCCGGGGAGAGAGAGACCCACTTCCACATACACAGGTTCCCCAAGGAGGGCTGGAGCCATAGTCCAGTGGGGAGGGCATCTGCATGCAACCGACCCAGGTTCGATCCCCGGCATCCCATATGGTCCCCCTAAACCCTGCCAGGAGTAATTCCTGAGTGCAGAGCCAGGAGGAACCCCGAGCAACAGGCCAAAAATAAATAAATAAATAAATAAATAAATAAGACAAAGATCCTGCAAGGACTTTGGGGGGGGGGGGGCGCGTGTTGAGATGGGGTGACCGAAGCGACCACATGGACCTGGAGGGCAGGGGAGGCTAGCCAGCTCGGCTCAGCTCCCCCTCGGAGCCCCCTGGGAAGGGCGGGGACCTCAGCTCTGCAAAGGGCTGGACAGAGGGCAGTGGGGGAAGCAGGAAGAGCTGGGGTTTCTTTTCAAAGCCTGTTTCCATGGCTCCTGCAGGCCCTTGGCAACCCCCAGCTGGGGCTCTTGGTTAGCCAGGGGGCCCAGAGCCTTATCTCGCCTGGGCAACCCTCAGAGGCCCCAGGAGCCACACAGAGGCCACAAGCTGGGGTCCTGGCCCACTCTCTCTCTCACCTGGGGGGGTGAGGGGAGAAGGAAGCGAGTGACAAAGGGCAAAGGGGGGGTCGCTGCACGGTCCCTCTGCCGCCTGCACCCCGCAGACCCTCCACCAGGACACATTCCTTCCCGCCTGCTGCCCAGCGAGCCAGATAAGGGCCTCTTTGATTTCCAGGGTGTTTAGGGGGGGGGGCAGGCTTGGAATAGATCATCAGTTATATCCAGGCAAGTCCAGGCTGCAGCAGCGCCTCCAGGCAGGGCGAGGGGTCTGGGCTGGGGGCCCCTTACCTGCTCCTGGGAGTTCATCACACGCAGTTTCATCTGCTTCAGGTAGGTGGAGGTCAGGGGCATGTTGTAGTCGATGATCCCCGAGACCAGAGGCGAGGCAGGCTCGTTTTCTGGCAGAGAGAGCAAAAGGATGTCTGCTTCAGTGGGGTGCTGTGGGGATTCCCCCATCCCTACACCCAGAAGGATCCACAGGCAGGACTCAGCTGGCCTCGCCTCGGGCAGCCTGGCCAGGAGGCCATACCCCAGGGGACGGAGAGTCCCATCTCTGCCGGGTGGGGGGGGGGGAATGAGGTGGAGGAGAGAGCCAGGGGCCCCAGAACCTTATCTGGCCTGGGTGAGTCCCCTCTCCTCAGAGTTCTCAGTGAGGGAACAGTGGCGAGTTTCTGGCTCAGGGGCCACACCTGTAGTGCCTAGCACAGAGCTGGGGAGGAAGACCCCCCTCCTTGGTGCTCACGGTCGGGGACACACGGGGTTAGAGGTGAAACCCCGGGCTCCCGCTCAGACCGCCCAGCCAGCCCCCCCAGCCAGTGCCAGCGTTCTAAGATTTTTTTTTCCATTTTAAAACTCAGGAAATTGGGGCTTCTTTAGGGGGGGAGGAGAAAGAGGATCCTGGAATAATGGTACAGGGGTGAAGGTGCTTGCCTTGCCAGAGCCTCCCAGGTTCGATCCCTGGCACCCCAGAGGGTCCCCCAGTACTTCCGGGAGTGATCCCTGGGCACAGACAGAGTTAGGAGTAAGCCCTGAGCACCATCCGCTGTGACCCCAAAAAATTGACAAAAGTTTGGGGGTGGATCTGAAGATCTGAGGGTCTGGGGTCTGTGTCTGGGGTCTGGGGTCTGTGTCTGGGGCCTTGGGTTTGGGGTCTGAGATCTGGGTCTGGGGTCCGTGTCTGGGTTCTGTGTCTGAGGTCTGTGTCTGGGGTCTGGGGTCTGTGTCTGTAGTCTATGTCTGAGGTCTGGGTCTGGGTCTGGGGTCTGTGGTCTGTATCTGGGGTCTGGGGTCTGTGTTTGAGGTCTGTATTTGGGTCTCGGGGATGTCTTGTCTTATAGGAGTCTCCTTCCTCAGCCTCTCTCTGCTGTGATCCTCCCCACTTCCTGCCGTGCTCCCCTTTAGCTGGGGTTATGTCCAGGTTCCCATCCTGGAAGGAGGCAGCCCCCTCCCAGGAGGGCACCCCTGCCAAGCCAACCTGCCCAGCACCCTCGGGTGCCACATGGCTCCGGGGTTTGGGGGAAGCCTCCAGTTGTCCCCCCCCCCCCAGCTCCGGCTCCTCCTTAGTCATCCTGAGAGGTGCATTGTTCCTCCCATTTATTGCTTTGTTGTCCTGAAGATCAAAGTAACTCATGTTCTTTTTGTAGCATATTTGCAATGTAGAAAGATGTAAAAAAAAAAAAGGATAATTGCACCATGCAGCTTGGCATATGCTTTTGTTTATTTTTCCCTGTGATTTCTCTTCACATGCTGGCTATCATAATGCATACAAAGAACTAGAATCTGCGATTCCCCCCTGCAACATTGTACAAGAGGTACCGTCAAAAACAATCTTGTTTGGGGGTCTGGAGACGTGGCTCAAGGGGTAGAGCATATGCCCTGTCTGCGAGGGCCTGGTGTGATTCCCCGCATGGAAGAGCCCCAGAAAACAGCTGGTGTGCCCCTGCACAACCCCAACACGGCACCTTAATTTAAACCCTGCTTTGCCCTGCCAATCGGGTGTTCATAACCAGGTGCTATTTTACCATCGTTTACTTAAATCATTTCCTTATTGGCTATCAAGGTGGCTTCTGACTGGGGGGGATGTTATAAACAACGCTGCAGGGAACATCTTGGTCCATGGGTACCCATCCAGGTTTCTGATCCTTTCCGTTACCGCCAACAGATTCCAAGAAATGGATCTCATGGGTTAAAGGGTGGGAATGTTTAGTAACTCCCCGAATCTCTAACCAATGGCGTTCTGCAGAGGCAGCTGCGGCGGGGAGAGATGCCCCCTGATTTCTCCCATTCACAGGCTGGATCTGAGTAGCGGGCGCAGAAGAGGGAGCCACTCCCCGACCAGCAGATGTCTGCCCACTCTCACAGTGCCCAGGACTGAGGGGGGAAGGGACCGGAGGAAGAGGATGGAGGCGGAACCTGCAGCTCGGGTTGGAGAGGCTACGGAGTTTGGGAAAGCATGACGCAGGTTGTAGGAAGGCAGACGCCAAGGGACAAAGAGGGGATGACTCCAGGGAGACGGCCCAGCTAGAGGAGGCAGGTACCTGCAGCCAGAAAGCGGAACAGAGGTTCCTGGGGTTGGGGCAGCCCTAGGAATCTGCTGCGTCCTGGGGCATATAAATCTGTCTGGGGCGCAACAGCGGTGACAGTTGATCGGCATGAATGGCATTCGTGCCGCTGAACTGATCTCTCGATTATTAAAATGGGGCGGGCTCAGACAAGACAGACAAGGGTGGGGTGAAGGCACTGGCCTTGCTCGTGGCTGACCCTGGTTTGATCCCCAGTCACTGCTGAGGATGACCCCTACGCACTGCTGGTGTGGCCGAGCCTCCCTCCCCGATGGTGGGGCTCACACCTGTGTGCCTTGCACATGGCCGACCAGGGTTCCATCCCCGGAATCTCATATGGTCTCCCGAGTCCCACCAGGCGTGATTCCTGAGTGCCAAGCCAGGAGGTAGCCCTTGTATGTATGAGGTTCTGTGTAGGATTCTGGGATTCCCCCTCCCCCAATTCATTAAAATGAAAGTTTCTTGGGGTGATGTTATGTGATGCCACAGAACTGGGGTCAGATGCATGCATGAGCCTCCCCCCATTCCCTAGGTTTTAATTAATTAATTCAGGTTTTGGGGGGACTTTTTGGGGTCACACTCAGGAATGCTCAGGGGTCACTCTTGGCTCTGCACTCAGGAATTACTCCTGGCAGTGCTTGGGGGGACCATATGGGACGCCGGAGATTGAACCCGGGTTGGCCGCATGCAAGGCAAATGCCCTACCCGCTGTGCTATTGCTCCAGCCCCTCGGTCTGTCTTTAGAGAAGTCTTTCCTCATTTGCAGAGGGAAAGGGGCTCCCTGACACCAATATGCACCAGCCCCTTTTGCCCTGGTGCTAAGGTTGCAGGTGGGAAAGCTAAAATACACTGTTCGCCTGCCTGTGCCCTTCTCTCAGAAACCCCTCCTAAGCCCTGGGATATGTGGGGGGCCTGACTCGCCCTAAATCTATGGGACTGGCTGAGAGGGTCTCTCAGAAGAGCCCCGGTTGAGTCGGAGCCATAGTACAGCGGGGAGGGAGGGCGCTTGCCTTGCACGTGGGTGACCAGAGTTCCGTCCCTCACGCCCCATAAGGTCCTCTGGGTCCCACCAGGAGTCATTCCTGAGTGCAGAGCCAGGAGGAAGCCCTGAGCACCACTGGATGTGGCCCCGAAACAAAGAAACAAACAAACAAACAAATAAAAACCCCAAGCAAAAAGAGAGCCACAGTCCTGTGTTCAGACTATGAGTCCAGACCAAGCTCAGCCTTGGCTGTTTCGTTTCCTCAAACTCTGGGGTTGTCTGGCGCAAAGCTGGCGCAGGAGAGGGACTTCCCCTACCCACAGAGGCCCCCACACACGGTGCAGGGGACTTCCTGGGCGTGGCGGTGGCTCTGCCTGGGGGACCTCAGGGGACAGGGCTGCTGAGAAGATCTGCTCCAGACCACCTGTCCCTGCTGGGACTCAAACAAGGAAGGGGAGCAGAGGCCGGGACCACAGGTGAGGTGTTGGCATGAGGCTGACCTGGGTTTCATCCCCAACACTTCATACAGTTCCCTGAGCCGCACCAGGAGTGGTTCCTGAGCACAAAAGCCCAGAGTGAGCCCTGAGCAGCTCTGGGTATAGCCTAACCATTCCCCGCCACCCCCTCAAAAAAAAAAAAAAGAGAAGAAAATAATTGTGGCTGGGAACGGGCCCACAAGAGGGGCCCCTAGCATTGCCACAGATTCTAAGCCACTGCAGCTTTCTGTCCAGGGTGAGCCCAGACAGCTCGGAGGGGGCAGAGCGCACTCCTCTGGGCGCAGCGGGGCATCCTGAGTGCCCGCACACACAAGTGGACACCGGCGTGGTGCAGCCACACATGCATTAGAGGTCAGTGTGCCCTGCAACGCTGGATTCAGCAGTTCTGGAACTGAGCTCTGTCCTTGGTGGGGCGGGGACCTGGATGCGAAGGAATGAGCTGGGAAGGGGGGGAGTGTGTTCGTGTAGGGGTGGGGGGGGCCCAGGCACGGCCCTCAGCAAGGAGACAGGTGGGGGTGGGGGGTGTCATCCTAGGGAGCTCCCCCCCCAGATCTGGAGATGACAAAGTGGCACAGCAGGAAGGAGGGAAGGAGCAGGGGCTAGTGGGCACCGGGGAGGGGTGGACACAGGGACCGGGAAGACGTGCTCTCCTGGGCCCTGGGGAGGTGGGCTCGGCATGATAGGGGTCAGCACAGAGTGGCCACACTCTGGCCACTAATGACCTGTTGCCATCAGTGAGTTCAGAGCGACCAAGTAACCCAGTAGGGGGAGTGGTCTGAACAGAAAGCCTCCCCCAAACCATTCAACACTGGGGCTGGAGCAACAGCACAGCGGGGAAGGCATCTGCCTTGAACGGGGCCAACCCCGGGTTCGATTCTCAGCATCCCATAGGGTCCCTTGAGTACCGCCAGGAGTAATTCCTGAGTGCAGAGCCAGGAGTAAACTCTGCAATCGCTGGGATCGCTGGGTGTGAACCTCCTCCCCACCCCACCCCCGCCCCCGGCAAAAAAAAAAAATTTTTTTTTGCTGTGCTCAGCTCCCTGTGGGTGCCCGGAGACCATGTGGTGCCAGGGATGGGACCTGAGCCTCCTACATGTAAACCGTATGCTCAGCCCAGTGAGTCACTTCTTCGGCCCTTGACCCTTCTTTGCCAAGGAAAACTGAAACCAGCCGGAGCTCCAGGAGTCAGAGAGGGAGGTTGGGGAAGCATTGGCGCAGCAGAAGGCTCTGCCCAAAGCCGAGTTGCGCCCGGGGCGAGGTGGTGAGGTGGCAGCCAGGTGAGGTGGCAGGCCCATAGTACAAACCTCAGCCCAGGTCTGACTCCGGGGCCGGCCGGGGGTGAGACCCTGGAGGTGGCCATTCTCGGGTGCTTATGTAGACAGAGTAGATGACAGTGGAACGATTCTTGGGTTCAGGGATGCTTTGGGGGGGTCTGTAGGCAAGGTCAGAGCGGAAGGCCACCTGTAGGAGGGGGCCCTGGGTCGGGGGAGTCCAGCCGTCCCGTCAAGGGGTCCAGCTTTGGAAGCAGATCCCAGGCCTGGGGCGATGGGGAAGCTCCTTCCCCGGGGAGGTGAATCTGGGGAGACTTTGGGAACACAGACATGTGTGCGGGGGGGATGCAGGGGGGGAGAGCTGCCCAGTCCAGGGGTGTGGGTCCTGGAAATCAGCACTAGGAGCCAGTCCGGGAGAGCGCCGAGAACAAGCCCCCCAGTACCCCCCTTCCCCAGTGTCCCACCCCCACTTCACAGAGGAGGCAACAGGACTGTCTGCAGCCCCCCCAGCGGGGACGGGGCCTGGGGGAGGGGCCACATGGGGGAGAGGTGGGGAATGGGTACCAGCAGAGGGGTCACAGCTGTCATCCTGAGCAGTGTCTGTCACTGCCGAGGGGACTCTTGGGAAGGTGACCAAGCCACCCCCTAACTCCTCGTTGAACAGCTGCATGGAGAAAACAACCCCCCCCCCACCACCACCACCGAGGCCCCATTCCCCAACTTCGGGGGCTCCTTTGTTTGTACTCCTGGTTCAGGGGGAGGACACGGGAGGGCCCACGGGGCTGCAGGGGACAGACCTTGGGGGCCGGCAGATAGCTCTGCCTTTGCCCTTTCTGCCTAGCATGAGGCCAGGGAGTGGACCCTTCTTTTTCCCCATGGCACCTCAGAAGTTTCTGCCCTGAGCCCAGTGCCCGGCCCACCCGCCCCCCTCTGGGCAGGCTGCGGGAGGGAGGGGCCGCAGGCAGTGTGCAGCTGAGCGTGGCCCTGTGATAGCATCTCACCCTGCAGCTGGCCAGGAGGCGCAGGGCCTCTCCCAAAACTAAACCTTTCCTTCCCTTTCATTTTTCTATCTTTAAAAAAAAATTGGGGGGCCTGGAGCAATAGCACAGCAGGTAAGGCATTTGCATTGCACGTGGCTGACCCAGGTTCGATTCCCAGCATCCCATATGGTCCCCTGAGCACTGCCAGGAGTAATTCCTGAGTGCAGAGCCAGGAGTAACCCCTGTGCATCGCCGGGTGTGACCCAAAAGGCAAAAAAAAAATTGGTTTGGGGGCCAGTTGTGCACGGGGGTTTACTCCTAGCTCTGTGCTCACTTCCGGCAGGGCTCGGGGACCATGCATGGGGTAGGGGGGGGTGATGGTGGAAATCCGGTCAGTGTTGTGCAAGGCCAGTGCCTTAACCCCTGCACTCCCCCTCGGCCCAGACCCCTTCCTCTGACTTCCCTTTACATTTTGTTAGTTCGTTTCTGGGTTACACCTGGTGGTGCTCAGGAATCTCTCCCGGTGGACTCAGGGACCTTTCATAAGGGGTGCCGGGGACCAAGCCTGGGTGGAGAGCCTGCGACCCCTCCAGCCATACTTCCTTTGCTCTTGACAGGTGTGGCCCTGGGGTACTGGCCCAGAGGTATGTGGGAGACATAACAGACAGCCGTGCTCTTGCCTCTGGGGCAACCATATGAGCCCCCCTCCCTGCAGTTCCCGGGGGCTCCCATGGTGCCTAGGAGACAATGGCCTCACCTCTGGGGGGTCCTGACCAAGCCAATGAACCAGTCACCCCTCAGCTGTAAAGCAAGTGGCATTTAGGTTTGGGGGAGCTGCCTTGGAGCAGGGGGTGCTCAGCGAGCCTGCTGCAGCCCCCCCCCCCAGCTTGCCGGGGCACCCCGCAGGGAGCAGGGTGGCACCCCCAGGTCTCCTGCCTCTTCCAGTCCAGGGAGCCTCCACCCCCCTGGCCTGGGCCGGCTTGGAGCTGCCCCCAGAGGTTCCTACCAACGCCTAGCCTAACCGCGGAGCTGGTTTATATTCCAGGCAGCTCCCGCTGTGCTCTCTCCCTGCCTCCGCCTCCCTCCCCTGCTCCTCTTCCCGCCCCTTCCTGGGGAGGGTGGGGGCACAGTGGGGGCAGGACACAGAAGAAATGGGCCACTGCCCTGCCTGGCACCCGCCCACCAGGGCTGAGGGGGAGGAGGAGGGGGAGACCTGGGCGCCTCCGGGCCAGGAGGGGGAGGTGAGAACCGTCCTTCATGCCAGCAGGGGTGGGGGGTGGAGGGCGAGCAAGGCAGCAGAATAGCAGGCAGACACCCTGGAGAAGCCCACCACCCTGGCCCCTCTTGGCCTTGCCTCCGTTCCTCCAGGCAGGCAGGCGACTCTGAAGCTGACTCCCCCCACCCCCGTTGCTATGGAAACAAGGAAGACAGAACAGGAGGGGACCGGCTGATGGGTGGGGAAGGGACCAGGCACGGCCACTGGGACATGTGCCTCTGGGACCCAGAGCTGCCCTGGCCCCTCTGTCATCCCAAACCTGATGACAGGGGGGTGGGGTGGAGATGACTCAGCTGGGGCCAGGGCAGGGGGGGTGCAAGCAGGGGACCCACTGGGGCAGCCGGGGGCAGGGCACGGGGTGGAGGGTGTGAGCAGGGCAGGGACTCAGCCTTGGCCTGGGCATGGGCCAGCGCGGGGATCCCAGCTCTGAACCAAGTGCCCAAGAGGGGGCAGCTGGGTTCTTTCTTGTCCCAGGGGCGGCTTTAGAATCTAGCCGAGGTGGGGCTGGAGCGATAGCACAGCGGGTAGGGCGTTTGCCTTGCACGCGACGGACCTGGGTTTGATTCCCAGCATCCCATATGGTCCCCTGAGCACCGTCAGGAGTAATTCCTGAGTGCCGAGCCAGGAGGAACCCCTGTGCATTGCCAGGTGTGATCCAAAAAGCAAAATAAATAAATAAATAGAATCTAGCTGAGGTTCTCCCAAGAAGCAGCCCAGCCTCTGGATTCAGCAGGTCGGCGGGTGCCCACTCACCCAGGGGGCTGAGAGGAGGCGGGCTGGGGGCTGCGGTGCTGACTCCTTGGGGACCACCTGCTTGGGCTTCCTGGCTGCTCTTCCCTCCCTCCCTCTGGTGGGGGTGATTCTGGCACCGCCCAACAGGCCAGGTACAGAGGCCGGAGCCATAGCACAGCGGGGAGGGCGCTTGCCTTGGATGCAGCTGACGCGGGTTCAATCCCAGGCATCCCACACGGGCCCCCGAGCACCGCCAGAAATAACCCCTGAGCATTGCCAAAAACAAAAAGGGCAGGGGGAAAGAGAGAGCAAGAGAGCGAGAGAGAGAGAGAGCGAGAGAGAAGCTGGCACAGAGCAGGGAGTTGAGGAAAACCTAGACTCCACCTTTGCAGGATGGGCGGGCCCAGGGGAAGCCTCGAAGCAAGCCCACCTGGCCAACTGGCCATGTAGGCACCATTTCCCAGGGCACTGTGGTCACCCTACCAGCGAACCTAGTGGCCCTGTGTCAGAGCCTCCTGCCAACAGAGACCTCTGGGGAGATGCAGGCTGGGGGGGGTGGGGGTGGGATGGCTTCCCCCCACTGCGGCAGAGCTGGACAGTGTGGACCGAGGCCGGGAGGTCAGCCTGGGTTTGTCACAAGTGCTCTAGGTGTTTTATTTTTACTCATCTGTCTTGGGGGGGCTTGCGGCTATACTGGGCGGTGCTAGGGGAACACACAGAGCCAGGGATGGAACCCAGCCCCCGTTCCCCAAGAAAGAAAGAGCTCAGACCATTCAGGGAGCCCTCCAGCCCTGGCCCTGCTCCAGGATTTTAAATTCCAAGCAATTCCTTTAGATCTGCTGGGTAGATCTATAGGGGATAAATGATACGTAGGGGGGGACCTAGGGGGGTCACAAGAGGGAGGACTCAGAGGACAAGGGGTGCTCCTTTTTTTTTGCTTTTTGGGTCACTCCCGGCGATGCATAGGGGTCACTCCTGGCTTTGCATTCAGGAACTACTCCTGGCGGTGCTCGGGGGGACCATATGGGATGCTGGGAATCAAATCCAGGTCGACCATGTGCTAGGCAAACGCCCTACCTGCTGTGCTATCGCTCCAGCCCGATAAGGGGTGCTCCTGAGGGGTCAGAGACCAGAGTGGGAAGCAGGCAAGAGCCAAAGGATGGGCCTGGGGTCATTCCCTCGCGGAAGCTGGGGGTGGGGTGGGGGAGAGGGCCAGCCTGACTCTGAAGGGCTGGGTAATGTCTTTCATTTGTTTGGGACAGTTTGGGGCAACTCCTGGCACTGTGCTCAGGGATCAGCCTTTTCTGTTTGTTTTATTTTAGTGCTGCACCCGGCGACACTCAGGGCTTCCTTCTGGTTCTGAGCTCAGAGGTCACTCCTGGTGGGCTCAGGGGACACTACGGGGTACCAGGGATCAATCCCAGGTTGGCCATGGGCAAGGCAAGCACCCTGCCCCCTGTACTGTCGCTCTGGCCTCATCGGGGATCCTTCTTCCCTGGGACCAGGGGCCCAGAGGCTGGTCCTGGGGCAAGCACCCTGTCCGCTGTTCTATCCCTTCGGTCCCAGGTGGAGGGAATAGTCAGTCAGTTTTAGTCTTTTTTTTTTTTAAGTCACACGCTGCAGTGCTCACAGGCTACTTCCAACTCAGTGCACAGGGCTAGGGCCCTAACCCCAGGCTCCTACATGCAAGCGGGCACTGGGCAGGCAGCGCTGGTTTCTGAGCAAGAGCTTCAAAACACAACCCCTCTAGCACACCACTCCCACCGCCCAGGAGAGACTCTGAGCCACCCAGGGGTGGGGGGCAAGGGGGAGACTGTCTGTCGAGGGGGCGGCCCTCTCCCGCACAGCCCCTACCTTTGGGCTCCAGGCCATTGGAGTTAAAGTGCATCCTCTTCTGACACTCCGTGCAGCTCATCAGGAACCGGGTCACGGCCTCTCGCGGGAGGAAGGCATAGGTCTCTGCGATCTGCGGGCGGGAGGAGGGACGCTCGTCACGTCGCTCTGCCAGGAGGCCACCCGGACACCAAGGGCAGAACGGAGGAGTGACCCGTCATAGCGGGAAGGATGGTGGTGGTGGGGGGGGGGCCCAGGAGCCAGGAGTGGGGGTCCAGCCTCGGAAACCAGTCAGCTCTGTTCTTGAGGTGGGAAAGCACCAGCTTCCAGAGTTTTGCATGCAAGGGCACTGTCACTGTCACTGTCCTCCCGCTGTTCATCGATTTGCTCGAGCAGGCCCAGTAATGTCTCCATTGTGACAATTGTTACTGTTTTGGGCATATCGAATACGCCACGGGTAGCTTGCCAGGCTCTGCCGTGCGGGCGAGATACTCTCGGTAGCTTGCCGGGCTCTCCGAGAGGGGCGGAAGAATCGAACTCAGGTTGGCCATGTTGGCTGCATGCAAGGCAAACACCCTCCCCACTGTGCTATCACTCCAGCCCACATGCAAGGGCAATTAAAAAAAAAAAAAAAGACAGAGGATAGCACAGCAGGGAGGGCGTTTGCCTTGCACGTGCCTGACCCGGGTTCAATTCCCAGCATCCCAGAGGGTCCACCGAGCACCTCCAGGAGTAATTCCTGAGTGCATGAGCCAGGAGAAACCCCTGACCATCGCCGGGTGTGACCCAAAAAGAGAGAGAGAAAAAAAAATCAGAGCGAGTCAAACCTTTTTCATCTTCTGGTTTCTAACCTGTTTGAGAGCAAGATGGCCCTGAATCCTGAAAAATATGTTCCTCGGCAGCTCTGGGACAGGATCGACCATGTGCCCTCTTGGAGATGGATAAATCAAAACCCTGCAGATAAATCGCACGCGCAGGGGTCTGGGAGAGAACACTGGGTTCTCCCGGGCCATTTCCAGGGGGGGCTTCTCTCTGGCAGAGGTCCCGGGGATTGGGTGGGGGAGGGGATTGGGGTGGGAAAAGAGGCTCCCGGGGACCTTCATACTCCACGGGAGGTCCCCTGGGGTCGTGAGTTCTTCAGTGGCAGTGCCCCCCTAAAGCCCCTGGCCTGGCCGCAGGGCCCCACAGCTGGGGAGGAGAAAGGCGTTGGCAGGGAAGGTCAGAGAGAGGAGGGGGTAAAGGGAGGCTGAAGGAGAGGGCCGAGGCCGCGTGGGGACACTCCTGCCGGCCGGCGTCTGGCTTTGGGGACCGCCCTGATGGGGCTGGGCCCTCGCCCGGGTGTCCTGGGCTGGGGCTGCCCAGTGGCTAGTTTCCTCCCTTCCCGGCTCGGAGTCCTCCCGCTTCTGTCCACTAAGGGGCAGCATTACCCCAGCCTTCCGCCCGCCGCTCGCAGCCCGCGGGGAAAGTTGGCAGCGGGCGCCGGGCAACCGACAGGGGGCGGCGGGCTGTGTCCGGGGACCGGCCGGTCCCTCGGCACTGGCCGGGAGGGGGGCGCGGGCGGGCGCGCGAGGACCCGGGCTGTGCTCCCTGCCCCAGGCCTGAGGCTGTCCAGGGCCCCTGCGGCCGGCGGACGCCCGTGCAGAGGTCAGCCGGGCGCCGTGAGGATCCGAGGGTCCGTTCTCCGAGGAGCCGGGGCCAACCAGCCTGGGCCTCACCTGGGAAAGGGGTGAGCGACCTGCCAGAAAAGGGGCGGGGACGTCTTCATCCCAGTCCCAGCTGCCCATCAGTCTCGAGGGTCCTGGGAGGGGAAGGGTCGGGAGTGGGAGGGGTTAAGGGGGATGGTGGGGTTTGGGGATGGGAGGCATGGGCGAGGGGGAGAAAGTGGGGGTGGGAGGGGTTAGGGTTAGGGTTAGGGGGTGGGAGGGGTTAGAGAAGATGGGAGGGGTGGGAGGTGGGAGGAGTGGGGATAGATGGGAAGATAGCGGGGAGGGAGGATGGGGGGGTTTGGATGGGAGGGGCTGGAGGAGGGGTGGGGAGGGGGAGGGGTTAGGGGTTGGGAGGGGCTGGAGGAGGGGAAGGGTTAGAGAAAATGAGAGGCATGGGAGGTGGGAGGGGTTAGAGGGGCTGGGAAGGGTGGGGGGTAGGAGGGGGGATGGGAAGGGAGGGGGATAGGAGGGGGGATGGATGGGTTAGGGGAAGGGGGGTTGGGATGGGAGGATGGGGGATGACGGGTAGGGGGATGATGAGCTGGGGATGGGTGAGGTGGGATAGGGAAGGGTTGGGGGGATGAGAAGGGTGGGGATGGGAGGGGTGGGGATGAGAGGGGTTGGGGGATTGAGGGGGCTAGGGGGATGAGAGGGGTGGGGGATGGGAGGGGTTAGGGGTGATGAAAAGGGTGGGGGGTGGAAGGTGTGGGAATGGGAGGGGCTGGAGGGATGAGAGGGGTTGGGGGTTGAGGAAGATGGGGGGTCAGAGGGGTTGGGGGATGAGAGGGGTTAGGGGAATGGGAGGGGTTGGGGGGGTGAGAGGGGTGGGAGATGGGAAGGGTTGGGGGTGGGAGGGGTTAGGGGATGGGAGGGGATGGGGGATGGGAGGGGCTAAGGGGTGAGAGGAGTTGGGGGGATGGGAAAGGTTGGGGGGGTGAGAGGGTTAGGGGGATGGGGAATGGGAGAGGCCGGGGTGGGTGGGATGGAAGGTCAGTGGGAGAACGGGGAGATGGGAGCACTAGAGGCAACAGGAGTGAAGGGGCCAGGACACCCACACGGACTGCAGCTGGCCGACTGACCAGGCCAATAGATGCCTCCTAGGCTCCGCAGGGGCCACGGCCACCTTATTCCCCCAGGAGCTGGAGCAGTCTCCTGGCCCGGGGGTGTGTTGGGTCACCAGCTGAGCTGTGCTGGAGGGGCCGGGGTGGGCCTCAGGTTGGCTGCTCTGCAGGGTGCAGGGCAGATGGTGCCAGGAGTGTCCTGGCCTTGCAGGGGCCCGGGGTAAGCAGAGGCTGGGCCACATGAGGGGCCACTGCAGCCCACAGGAAGGGGAGCAGCTTGTGGTCTGGCTAAGGCTCCCCGCTGAGCCAGTCCGGCCCCACAGACCCACATGGATGGCAGAGGGTCAGCCCGGCCTGGGCAGCAGCCTCCTGCAGGCAGTTCCGGGTCTCCCAGGAAAAGCAGGAGCCGGTGCAGGACACGCTGGGCCAGGCTGTGGGCCAGGGGGCTGGGAGAGGTTGGGGGGGGGGGTCTCAGAGCCTCCGGTGCAGTTCTGGGAACACACCCCGGTCAGGATGGCACTGGGGGCTGAGGCGGGGGTTGGAGGGGCTGCCTGGTCCGCGGCCGGGGAGGGGTGCCCCCGTGGGAGAGCCGCGCCATTTCGCCGGCCGCCAGGGCAGAGGCTATTTGCAGAGTCGCTGACTTGCAAGGCCCCTTCTCGCTCCTGCGCTTGCTCGAGGCCCGACAGAGACAGATGAAGCCAATTGGGGGGATTTGGGCCACTTTACAAGCTCCCCCTTCTGCCCTGGGGGCGGATTAGCTCCCAGAGGCCCCGAGCAGCTGCTGACCACATCTGGCCAGACCGCTGCATGCCGTGGTCTGGGCCGCTGGATCCGGACTCCGGAACCCCATCGCGCCCTCCAGGGCCCTGGCAGGGAGGGGTAGCCTCAGAGGCGGGTGCCAAGAGACACCCGCAGGGCCCCCAAAGCCAGGGCCGGTCCCCTAGGGGAGAGGTGTGGAGGGGGGCTTTGTATACCAGCAGGACCACCCTGGGGACCCCGGGGCCTCTGACTCACCAGCATCAGAGGGACACGGGGACGAGTCTCTCTGTCAACATGACCCCATTTCAGAAAGCTCACGCCCTGCCCTGCGCCACGTGCTGGGTGGCCAGAGGGGCCAGACAAAGCCTCGTCCCACGGGGTTAGGTGTCCCCCCGTTCCTCCCCGTGCGTCCATTTCCCATCGGACCCTCACAAGCCTGTAAGAACACCAAGTGTCTGGTGCCTGGAATGGGCTGGCAGTGCCCGGGTATTGGAGAAGTACAGAGCTGGGGACAAGAGTCCCTCAGCCAAAGGTGGCAACCCTGGGGCACCAGGCTGGCCCCCCTGCCCCCACCCGTGGCCATGGAGGCCAGGTGCCCTTGGGGGTTCTTCTGTCCACAGAGGCAGCAGGGCCCAGGCCTGGCTGGAGGAAAATGGGAGCAGATGAAGAGGGGCACAAAAGCATCCAGGCACCACCCCGTTACTCCTCCCGAACGAACGAACGGGGAAGGGTGGCAGATGGGAAGAGGAGGGAAGGGAGGAGGCGAGGGGAGGCGGGCGGGTGGCAGCCCCCTTGGCCTCACACCCGCCGCAGGAGGGCCCTGGCCTGCTCCGCTCGGGCTTGGCCCTGCTGCTGAAATTCCAGCTCTGTGCACAGCCCAGCTGGCGTGCTGCCACTCATGTGCCAGCTCCAGGCCGGGCCGCGGGAAGTGGGGCACGCGGCGGGCATATGGACAGGCAGCCAGGAAGTGCGGAGCAACGCGCCTGGCCCAGAGCTGCGACGGGCGGGTGGGTCGGCGGCAGCGGGCGAGGTGGGAGCGGCCCTCCCTGCCCTCTCCTGGGCACAGACACTGCAGAGCGCCCTGCGCCCTGGTCTTCAGGAGCACCCGAGGACGGCCCCTGGGAAGGCCCGGCCAGGGGAGGCACACCTGGGCTCTGTGCTGACCACGGGAGACTGGCGAAAGGCAGAAGGTGGCCCCCAGTGGGCTGCCTGGCTCTGAGCACTGCTGCTTCTGCCCCTCGGAGCCTCGGTCTCCTCATCTGTGAGATGGGCACCCGGCCTGCAGCCATGCCACCTTCTTGAAAGCCAACAATGGCGCAGGGCTGAGTCCAGAGCCTGGCACAGGTCCATTCAGGGCCGGGAAAATGCATGGGGTCTCTGTGCCAAGGGGGCCAGACTCCCCGCTGGGGGGGGTCTCTCCCTTTGTCTGTGACCTCGGAAGTCCCCTCCCACGGGCCATTTTCCCAGGGTCACTGCCCAGTGACAAGCGAGGGGGAGGGGCAGATGGCACTGTCCTCCCCTCCCTCTCCTGCTCCCCCCCTCGTACCCCCCCACTGGCACATCCTGAAGGCTTGTTCAGGGCAAAGGCCATCGTCCTCCAAGGCCACAGACCAGGGCCATGTGGGGAGATTAGAGGCATCTGGCGGCCACCTCGACTGCAGCGCGGCGGCTGAGACCAAGAACGTGGGTGGGGGCGGGGGAGGGCGGGAGGCCCTCACAGGGACACCGAGATGAGTCCCACGCAGATGGTGCTCAGGGGACCCCAGCTAGGTTGCCCGGCTCCCTCTCCCTCGGCCTGAGTGCGGGGGACCCCTGCCTGGGTCACAGGACTGTCCAGCGGGGCAGGGCTAGAGAGGGTCAGTCTTGCCTGGACAGGTGTGCAGTATGTAACCAGCTCCCAGCTGTGTGTGGGGGAGGCTGCAGGGGGGCCGGGGGGTGTGGGACCCAGAAAGCAGGCGCCGGGCTCTGCCCCACACCCCCTCCGTCAGCGTGGGTGCCTTCTCCCGCCCCAAGGAGCCTATCATTTGCTTCCCTCCTGCCTACCCAGCTTCCTGCCGCCTTCTCCGTGATGGCCCCCCTGGCGCTCCGCGCGGTGGCTGAGACTGGGGGTCTGGGGGTGCCTCTGCTAGGTGCCCGGGCACCCAGGCTCGTCTTGGGGACGGTCCTGTTTCTCACATCTTGGTTCTGCTCTCGGTCTCCCCGCCCTGATGGACCAGTGACCCCTCCCTGGGCACCTCTCCCTGTGCGTGGGTGGGAGTGAGGCTCAGGAGCCGGGGGTGGGGGGCACATCAGACTCCCCCCTGGGGAAGGCCTGGTCTAGACCTCCCGGGGGACGCAGGAAGCCGCGTGCACTCACGGGGACGAAGCATCCTGGGCAGGCCTGGCCCGGGGCAGATGCCACGGCAGCGACTGTTCTACTATCACCATCATCCATCATCCCCCCACTCCCAATCAGAGCCCGAGCAGGCTGCCAGGGCACAGGGGAGGGGTCGGAGGGCGGGGGGGCCAAGGCGGGGAGGGTTCGAGTTCCTCCTGCCCTCCCCAGCCCCGTCCTCTTCCCCTCAACCTGCTTCTCCTTTGTGCTCGGACCCCAGAGCCCGCCCCATTGCCCCGGAGCCGCCACGGCTGGCTGCGGTGCCCTTGCCCTGCGCCCCCCACTACCGTACCCCCCCCCCCCGCCCCGGGTCCCCACAGGCCGTTTCATCACGCCTCAGCTCCCTGCCCCGCCCTCTGCTCCCAACATGTGCGGAGCCCGTGGCCTCCTGCCAAGGCCCGGGGCTGCCAGCGAGGCAGAGACAGAAATCTCACCGCTCGGTAGGTTTTCTTCTGCCCCGCGTGCTTGGGGGCTTTGCCGGGCTCCGCTGAGCTCTCCACATGCATCGAGTAGATGATGTCAAAGAAATCTTCCACCACAGCGACCCGCTTCAGAGAGACGCCCTCGGGCTCCGACAGGCCATCTGCCCCCTGCGACAGACAGGGTGGACGGGGGCGCGTTAGCGGCAGGGACAAGGCAGGGGCTGCTCCCTGACCCCTCCCCCAGGGCCTCCTGTATCCCCCCACCCCCCGTCCCCCCATCCCCCGCCCCCTGTCCCCGGCTGAGGTCTGGAGGGTGGAAGGGCTGGGGTAGGTGGCTGAGAGCCCCCCCCCCCCCGCAGAGAGGAACCTGGGGGGAAGTGGGGGGGTGAGGTCACCCGACGCCGGACAGTTACTGCTGGAAAATTTGGCGGACATAAGGGGCAGGGCACGACACCACAAACACACACGTGAAAAAAAAAAATGAGAGAAAAAGAGAGAGAGAGAAAACCCGCCACCAAAGGGCCCCCATGTTCACAATTTCAGACAGATTGTGCCAGACTCGGGCGGCAGCTCTCAAATCACACGCTGTGCCAAGACCATCCCCGGAGTCCCCGGGGAGGGGGGTGCTAAATAGATGCGGCCCATCAGGAGCCGCCAATTAGCTCTAACCTTTCACTGTGGTCCGGGCTGGGGTCCCCAGAGAGCGGCTCCCATCACCTGGGCGACTGCTGCCTCGCCCGCCCGGCCTTTCAGAAGAGCCTTTTCCCGCCCGCCCTCTCCGCCCCAGGAAGCCACCGAGCACCCCGGCCAGGCCCCGGGGCTCCCCCAGCTCTTTGTATGTGGAGCTGCCATGGTGGAGAATAACAGACACGAGGACACGTGGAGGTGCCCAGGGTCCTCCTCCCCCAGCCTCTTCTCAGGCGGGCATGAGTGCTGTCAGCTGGCCTGGACGAGGGGTGCCAGGAGGGAGGTGGGTTCTTCAGTGGCAGAGAGCTCGGCGCCAGCCCCCGCGGGGCATCAGGCAGGGGAGGGGGGAGGGAGTGCAGGAGCAGGAGCGAGCGAGCAAGCTGGAGGCTGCCGAGGGGCAGGAGCCCGGAGTGGCGGCTCCAGCCCCCAAGGCGGGGTGCACACAGCAGCCGTCCTGCAAGGATGCAGCCACCGCAGAGACAGAGAGCAGCGTGCCCGCACCAGCACCGCAGGTGGGCAGCTTGTCTTATACGCAGCGACCTACCCAGGTTTGATCCAGCATCCCCGAGGGTCCCCTGAGCATCACTGAGAGCGATTCCTGAGTGCAGAGCCAGGAGTAATCCCTGAGCATCGCCCAGTGTGGCCCCAAAATAAACAAAATAAAACCAAAGTGTGTGTGTGTGTGTGTGTGTGTGTGTCTGTGTGCGCACGCGTGTTGGGGAGAATAGGGAGCTGATTTGGGAGGAAGTCAGGTTTTCTCCCCAAAGACCAATCTCTAAGAGAACTCCCCTGCCCCAAAAGGCCTCCACTGGAGAACCACAAGCCTTCTGATGGGGGGTGGGGCGCCAACTGTCTGACCCCAGCTGGGCCCCAGAACCTGGAGCCAGGCCGGCTGCCAAGCACAGCCAGAAATGGTGACCCACCCCGAGAGCTGGTGGCCTGGACTGTGGGGGCCAGGCTGGGCCCGGAGACGCAGAGCTCCCCAGGCTGAAGGGCTCCCTTGATCTCACAGCCCTGATCTGGGCTCAGACTTTGGGGCAGCAGCCGGGCAGCAGGGGCCCCTGAGGAAGAAGAGCTGTCCCGGAGGTCGTCTCCCTCACAGGGTGGAGGTAAGAATCGGGGGACAGGCCCCCACCTGTGCTGGGTGGGCGGGAAGGGCAGTGCTGCCTTAAGGCTTGGTGCATTAGGGCCATATACCAGGATCTGTTTTCACCAGCTACATCCTGGTGTGCTGGGATTGGGGGGCGGGTGTAACAGAGAAACAGTGGAGAGGAAGGGCTGCTGGGCATCTGAGGCTAGGAGACCCCAGAGCAGGCAGGAAGTGTGACCTCCAGGGAGGTCTCCTGGCCCCCTCTCTCTCAGGGCCACCGGCTTCCTTCCTGGCCGGGACCCACTCCAGTGACGGCACCCCAGATAGCGTGCGCCCACAGAACCAGGGGGCCCTTCAGCCTGCCCAGCTTCACTTTCGGGCGGAGCCCCCAAATTCAATGACTTCTTGTCTCTAAACTCAGGCGTCTCAGGGCCAGAGCGACAGACAGTACAGCGGGGAGGGTGTTTGCCTTGCACAAGGCCAACCTGAGTTCCATCCCCAGCATCCTGTATGGTTCCCTCAGCCCTGTCAGGAGGGATTCCCCAAGCACAGAGATAGGAGTACCACAGGGGCGGGTGGGTGGGTGCGTGGGTGGGGTAAAAACCCAAAATAAAATAAAACAAAAAGAAAACCCAGGAGTCTGCTACCTGGTCTTGGGGTTGCTCTGAAGTCCCCACCCCAGCCCCGGGTGCCCAGAAAGACTCATTGATGACTAGCTCATTCATTACTTCACATTACCCCACATTAGGGGGATCTTGAAATATTGCCATGATAGAATCAGATAGGAAAAATATTGTGACAGGTCAGTTAAAATAGACTTCTAACCGGAGGCTCATGTGGGAAAACATCAAAACATAAATAAACCCTTAAGAATGAAAGTACGACCAGGTTTCTAATTCTTGTTCAAATAGTTGTATCGAGCTTATTTTAAAAGTCCTCAGGGCCGGAGCGATAGTACAGCGGGTAGGGCATTTGCTTTGCACGCAGCTGACCTAGGTTCGATCCCCAGCAACTCATATGATCCCCCGAGCACCGCCGGGAGTAATAGCTTGAGTGCAGAGCCAGGAGTCAGTTCTAAACACCTCTGAGTGTGGCCTGAGGACTGAGAACCGCTAGGTGTAGCCCAGAAAGAAAAAAAATAAAGTCCTCAATACAAAGACTTAGAATTTATGTATTTTCCTGTGTGTCCCTATTTCTTCTTCTTCTTCTTTTTTAAGTCTTTGGGCCAGAAAGATATTCAGGGGTTAAGGCGCTTGCCATCAAAGTGGCCAATTCAGGTTATATCCCTGCCACCACAAATGATCCTTTAAGCCCCACGAGGAGTGATCCCTAAGCACGGAGTGTAGGAAGAAAACCCTGGGCACAGCTGGCGTGGCCCCAAAACAAAAACAAAAGAACAGATTTGGATCAAGTAGGATGGAGTGATAGTTCCACATCTTGGTCATCTGAAACCAGTGGCATAATGATGGGTTTAACTGATTAAAAGTGAATAAGCCTCTTTACTCAATTATTTCAGGACTGGAGAGGCAGTACAGGGGTTAAGGTGCTGGCCTTGCGTGTGACCAACCTGGTTCAATCCCCAGCACCACAACGGTCCCCTTGAGCACCGCCAGGAGTGCTCCCTGAGCAGAGTCAGGAGTCGCCTCTAAGCACCTCTGGGTGTGGCCCAGAAACAAACAAACGAACAAAATAAAGTTTCAGGCCAAAAGAGGAACTGTCAAACCAGGGTCAGCCTCGTGCAAGGCACGAGTGCCCTCCCTGCTGCACTGTCACTGTGGTCCCCAATACAGATATTTCTGGGAATGGTGATACCATTTGGTGGGAAGAAATAAAAATAAAAAAATCAGTTGCTGAGAAAAGAATGTTTTTGGACAGATGGGAAGGAAAGTGCCCCCTAACCTTAGGGAATTCGGGGAGCCCTTGACCTTTTGAAAACTCAATTTCCTCACCTATAAAATGTGCCTAACAAGCACGAGTTGAGGGTCCAAGGATCAGGAGAGAGGGAATTGGACAGGCACTGCACACACGCTTATCAGAATCTGCTCTTCCTTCATGTAAGACTGAGTTTCGGCCCGGCAGAGGGCTCAGTGGATAAGAGCAGGCATTGCCTGCAGGAACCCCCGGTTCGATCCCCAGTACTGCTTTCACCACAGAGGACCAGCCCTCGAGCACTGAATCATGAGTATTTTCCAGCACCCACACGGTATGGCCCAAAGAATAAAAAAGGAAAGATCTGCTGAATTTGGACGTTTTCCACTTAGGAATCTAGGTCCCTTGCCTGTCCCTCTCATCCACTGAGGATATAGCATATAGCACCCACCCTTTTGCTGGTATCGGCCCCCCCCCCACCCCCCCGCTCTGAAGAAGACATCCATTGTCTTGTGTCCTGTGATCCCGTAAGCCCTTGGAATGCACTTTCTTTAGCTAACCATCCTGGTTAAACAGCAAAACTGTCTGCCTCTGTCCAGCCTCCCAAGCAGACACTGGTCACCTCACAGCTTTGCACTTCAAAAGCGACCATCAGGGACCCAAGTGACAGTACAGTGGGTAGGGCATTTGCTTTGCACGTGGCTGACCCGGGTTCAATCCCCAGCATCCTGTATGGTCCCCCGAGCACTCCCAGGAGTGATTCCTGAGCACAGAGCCATGAGTCAGCCTGGAGCACAGTCGGACATGCACCCCCACCGGGACCCCCACCCCCAGTAAAGCGACCATCAAACTATTCCAGAGAAACTCCCCATGGGAGCCTTTTCTGCAGCTCCCTCTGCAGAACAGACATCCACCCCAGTCCTGATGCTGATGCCTGGGTCCTGTACGTCCCTTGGTCTGCAGAGCCACACCTTGAACTGTCCTCCGGTGAGCCGTGGCACCTGGACACTCTGTGTGCTGCACCCTCAGGGAAACACGCCAGGGTATCTGTGCGGCCTTCAAGGAGAACCCAAGGAAGAGAACAAAGGGCTCCCACAGCAGCCACGTGCCCAGAACCCGCCGCCAGGCCCCGCACCCGTGCCGGTAAGCGCCTTCCTGCTCCTTGCTGGGGAGAGGCTGGCCAGACACAGCGTGGCCAGGAGCTGCCGCTAAAGCAGAGGAAAGCACCGTCCCCCAGCCTAGAGATGTCCCTGCCAACATCCGCTTCTGCTTGGTATCCAAATGAGCTTGATCTGCTCCATTGCCCTAAGCACGCTGGGCCCCGGACTGACAAAGGACCAGAGGGCCTGGAGTCCACCTCCGGAAGGTGCCCAGCATGGGGGTGGGGGGTGCCAGCCCAGAGTGATGGAATGGAACCCCGCAGCGCCCCCCAGAGGCAATGCAGTGAAAACACGTGGTCAGCTGTGCACGACTGACCTGGGGGGGGGGGGGGGGGGGGCTTCCTGCCTGGGGAAGACTATTG